CCAGTCAACATTTGACTCCTATGTCTTTCAATTGTTTCCAAATTTGAGCAGGAATTAAAAGAAGGTTCTGTATTGATTAGTCCCTAGAACCCCATCTGTAACACCAGGGAGAGCCTAACTTGGCTGTTGAGTTGCCCTGCCCCATCAGAGTGGAGATGGTACCCAAGGTACTTTCTGAAGAAATCATGGGCACACCAAACTCCTCACCAGGAGATGAGCCAATCTTATTCTAACCTCAGCAGATCTTGCCCAAAGACCTTGCTTTGTCATCAGAAAAGACTCAGGCTGTCTGAAGAGGGTCATTTTAGGAGACTGAGATTGTCTTTCTCAGGCTAGTGACTCAGCCACCCTAAGCACATTCCTTTTGGAGTACAAAGGACTTGGGTTCAGATTCTATTTGGTTTTATTACTTGCCAGCTGGGGACCTTGAACAAGATATTCTCCTTTTTGAGACTCAGTTATCTTGTGTATGAAATAGAGTTTTGATAACCAAGTGAAATAATGAGATAATGAATGTGAAAATGCTTTGTAATCTGTGAAAAGCTGTGAAATATAAGAGGTTGTTACAATGAGCTCATATTCTAGATGGGGAGATTAGATGTGGAGAGATGTATTAAATGAACCCATCATGTAAGACTTGATAAGAGTTTTCAATGGTAGAGATACCTTATAGGTTTCTGGAGGAGGGAAAATTGAGGGGTGGTCATCCAGCCTTGGAAATAACTAGAGTCTCCTTGTGCTGAGGGAAGACTGGACCCACCACACTGATCTCTGCCCTCTGTGCTTCATTCACTTTCCCCTTAGGGACAGCATACAAGGGCCTTAGGGGAGGACTCCTGCCCATTCATGTTCTAACCCAAGGAACAAATGGCCCTTCCCTTAATTCCCTGCAGCACAGTTGAGCCTGGAGAGGACAGCTAAACACTCTCTATGGAGAGATTTACTTTACTTCCAACCAAAGAGGCTCTGGACTAGGTTTTGTTAAAGGAGCCAAAATCTCAAATCCTTCACATGGTCCTCAAGGCCTTGCTGATCTGACCCCAGTGCCCTTCCTTCAACTTCAGCCTCTTTTTACACACCCTCCCCCCTTGCTCTCTGAGTTCCGGGCACACTGGGCTTCTCTCTAGCCCTTGCTCCCTCCCACTTGGGACCCTTCACACTTGGAAGTTACACCCACTTGGAACACACTTCTGCCTATGCTTGTCCCCTATATACCTGGTTAACTCTTTTTTTAAAAATTTTTCATGTTTATTTATTTTTGAGGGGGGGGCATGTGTGAGCAGGGGAGGGGCAGAGAGGGGGGGCACAGAATATGAAGCAGGCTCTGGGCTCTGAGCTGTCAGCACAGAGCCCAATGTGGGAGAGAGAGACAGAGGGAGAGAGAGAGAGAGAATCCCCTAAGCAGGCTCCACGCTCAGTGTGGAACCCGAGTTGGACCCAATCCCACGACCCTGGGACCACAACCTGAGATGAAATCAAAAGCCAAACACTCAAGCCACTGAGCCACCCAGAGGCCCCTTTGCACTAAGTAGGGATGATTTGAAGCTGATATCTGAAGGATAAGAAGCAGAAGAGGTAAAGAGGATGGGTGATAAGCATTCTGGGCAAAGATCACAGAACGTGCTGTGGCCCCAAGGTGGGAAGGAGCAGAGCAATCATAAAGAACTGAAAGGGAGTATGGTGTGGGGTGAGGCTTGTGAGGCAAGGGGTGGGAAGCACTGAACCATCCACCTGCGAGGGACCATGTGGCTCTGGGCAATGCACATACCAGCAGTGACCAGAGTGAACTAAACAAATGAATAAACAAAACAAAACCTGGTAATGTCCTGGGCTGCATAAAACCCCAGGAATTTCATATTACCCCAGGAAGTAGGGAGGGAAGTCCATAATAAGCAAAATGGAATTTCTTGTCATCTCAGCAGAAAGGTGCTCAGAATGGGTTAAATTTGATTTAGAGAAATGAAGAAATGCTCATTTCCTGCACATGACCATTTGATTGCAAATTCATGCTTTTCCACATAGGAAAGAGTAGGATTGCCGGGTGATGTCGAGTACCTATTTGAGGTTTGAGACCAGGAATTCAAAATGAGGCCATTGCAAAAATAAATAAATAAAATGAAGTCATTCAACCTGTTTGTGTGTTTTTTCTCTGGCGACATTCAGCTGCTCAGGTGCAGGTATGAAACCTCATCTCAGACTGTAGTGCTTATTTAGGTAGATTGTGTGGTTTTTCCAGGAAAGTATGTTGGAGGTTGAGGTGGGTAAGGAAATGACTGTAATGATGAATCATGGATTCTAAGCTGGATCAGGAAGGAAGTGAAGAATGGACAAGAATTGGTGGGATTAATGGATTAGAGGTCTCACTCAATGAGGTCGAAGAATTATGGCAAATGGGGTCCTGGCACACAGAACTTCAAAGGAGAGGAGGTGGCACATGGAGAGTGAGGTATTATATTTTCATATTTCAAAGATGGGGCCCTTTTTTGGGTGATTAAAGTGCCAAAGGTGTAAACCTGGAAAGAGTAGCTAAGTTGAGAGGGTTGTTAGAGGTGAGAAGGTCAAAGGGCTGAGAGGCCAGGATATTGACTAGAGCATCAACATGGATGTTGAACTCACCCATGGTGTTCAAGCATGGTGCTAGGAGTTGGAAGGGGCAGGGAAAAAGATTACGTGGGAGGGTCAGAAGGTGACAACAATCAAGATGGTCAGGGTGGTATATCTGAATGGAGAGAACTTAACAAATGAGCAGAGGTCTTTGCAGGAGGTGTGGGGGGAAACCATTAGGAAGTTTAAAGTCAACCCTAGCAACACTACTATATTTTACCGGCATCCTTCCTATGGCCAATGAACCACACCAAACCAAACCACCAGATATATTTCAACTGGGAATGCTTTATTACAGGTCTTGCCACCAGGAAGCACTGTCAATACTGGAAAGCAGACCTCCAAGCAGTCCCTGGAGGCCAGGAAAGTGTGTCTCAGCCTGAGCACTGAGGACCCCTAGGGCTCTTGTGAGATATTGCAAGGAGCTCAGCCATCCTTCCCCACAGCTGCGCTTACCTGTAGGGAGATTTTAAGCATTAAGTAAATCTTAAAAACAACAACAACAACAAAAACCCCAAACAAATTCCTAAATTCCTTTTACTTCCTTTACTGAACTATTGGAAGGCTTTGGCTATCATTTATTTTTCCAATAAAAGAGATGTCAAAGCACGGCTACTATCAGGTAGGGTTTTACATTTTCTCCTGAGTGAAAGGAGTCCTCATAACTGCAGGTTTTGAGGGTTGATGGTAACACCGTACTTAATTTTTTTGTAAGTAGCATGATTTAGTGGGAAGAGTACAGGGCTGGAATTATAATTGTAGCAGCAGCAGCAGCACCAACAATAGTATTTATTATCATTATAATCAACATTTGAGTGTTTACATGCACCAGAAACTGATGTAAACATTGTATATAAATTGATAATTTATTCCTCCTATAATTTTATGAGGTAGGTGCTATCATTAGCCCCATTTGGTAGACGAGTAGGGAGAGATTAAGTCACTGGCCCAAGGCCACACAGCTAATAGGGGTGGTGGGGGTAGTGGGATGGACTTGAATTTCATTGTTCCCCTAACCAGAATAGTCCAGATTATGCAGTAGGAGTAAACGCCTCTGAATCTCAGTAGCTTAACTCAAAAGACGCTACCTGTTTTGTGTAGGTTGGCAGGAGGCCTGGGCTTATTGTGCTAATTTAGGGACCCAGGCTGACATAAGCTTCATTTTGACACATGCTTCCACCATCACAGATGGCCACACAAAGAGAAGAGTATGCTATAGTGTCTGCAACTGAAATGATGTGCTTCTACTTGAAAATGGTATGTGTCATTTCTCATATTTTGCTAGCCAAAGCAAGTCATGTGCCACTCCCAACTTGGAGGGGCAAGGAGATGCACTCTTGCCATGAGCCCAGAAGGAGTCAAACAAGCTGTTTGGTATTAATGATTACCACTAACACTCAGGCCCTGGGCAGGTCATGCCTTTCTTGGCCTCAGTTTCCCTACCCACAAAACGAGCACAATCATTTTGTAAGGATCCCTTGTTATGAGGCTCCCTAATTAAATGGGGGATGTTGCTTATGGTTATGATGAGGCAAAACAGTTGCATCCCATTGAAGCTTCCATTAGCTGACAATCTTTGCCTCACCACAGGCAGCCCTGTAGCCCTGCATATGGAGCTCTCTGCAGAATAGCCTTTATCCAAGGATACATGCCAACCTTTTGGTCATTTACCCACCTAATGTCTCAGAGAATATTTTCATTTCCATCATCAACATGGCCATAGTTGTAGTCCCAGTGTTTGCTTGAAAATTCAGTCTGGAACCACCAGCTGTCCAGTTCATATTGAAAGCCTGAGACTGCTTTGGCTTGAGAGTGTGAGGGTCTTGGTGAGTGATCCTTCTTCCAGGTTCCCCAAGCTCTATCTTTGAATCAAGTCAGATCACCAGGACTGTTTACTTGGCTTCAAACAATTTCACCCCAGGGACACTCCCCAGGATGTCTGCTCTGAGTCAGGGATGAGCTAAGCTACAGAAACTCCTTTGTTAGCCAAGGATTGTCGGTGCTAAGAGCAGTACAAAAAAACACCCTTAAAAAGTGCATTTCTCAATTCTATACAAACCATGGTGATCACACTGCCAGAGCACTTCGTTGGCTCCTTCCCTATGGGTCGTTCTGCTATGCAACCACTTGTCGTCCTCTTCCTCACTCCCCTGATAGACTAGGTGGTGAACTTCCTGAAAATGGGGACTATCTTTTCATCTGGGTTTCATTGCATATGCAAAAACCTGATACCCAGCGGGTACTCAATAAATGTTCGCTGCATAAAATGCTTCTGAAGATTCTTCATGCAAGTTAATATATGATGACTTCCTTGTAGAATTTAGTGTCTATGGATGCGCTATTAGGCTAGTTGAACTTCAGGCCCAGAGATTCTATGAAACCAAAATAAGGTCAAAATGGGGGAGGAGGAGGAGGAGAAGCGCAGAAAAGGAGGACATTTCAAGCGGCGGGAGCACGAGAGGCAGGAAAGACAAGGTAGTATCGGGCACCGGGAAGACATCACTATGCCTGGAAAATTAAAACATAAGGTGAAGGAGGGAGGTTGGAGCCAGATGCCTGTAGGGGTCTAAGGTCAACGACCAGAAAGAAGAAATAACAGGACTTGGACTGGAGACAATGAGAGGAAGGCGTAAAAAAGGCGGTGGTGCATCAAATTCTGCGGCCAAGAGCTCCAAGAAATGAAAAGCAGGATGAGAGGGGGAAATATATTGTGTCCCCAAAGCTTCCTCTTATTTATGGGCGCTCCCGTTTCACAGAAGGTAAGCTGCAAGCACACTACTCGGTTCCTCAGGGCCAAGGGAGTGGAGGAGCCCCGCCTCTCTCCGTCACGTGGCCAGAAGCGCCGTTGGCACGTGACCCATCCCGCTCTAGGCCAATCAGCCTCCGCAGGGGCGGGACGCAGAGTGTGAGGGGCGGCAGCAACACAGTCGAGGCCGCTTCTTCTCGCGAGCCTTGCCGCCGTTGCTCCTTAGCCGCCCACGGCCCGGAGTGAAGATCTCGCGAGGCTTGGGCGCTGCGGCGGTAGGAGGAGGACGGAGAAGGACGGAGTCTAGCTGTTGCTGCCTCCCTCGCTCACTCCTTCGCGCACTCGCCCGCCCCCTCCCTCCCTCCCCTCCCTTCCCCGGCCCCGGCTCCGGCCCCGGCCCCGGCCCATTCGCTGTTCGGTCTTCCGCAGGGAGGATGTCGGGCTCGTCGCTGCCCAGCGCCCTGGCCCTCTCTCTGTTGCTGGTCTCCGGCTCCCTCCTCCCAGGGCCAGGCGCCGCTCAGAACGGTAAGTGGGGCGCCGGGGGCGGGCCGGGCGGGGGCTGAGAGACGCCGGCGACCCGAGCAGGCCGTCCCGGGCCCGAGGAGGTGCCGGAGCAAGGGGAAGAGGGCCGGTCGAATCTGAGGGGCTGCGGACCCGAGAGGAGATGCCGGTCTGGAGTTCCAAGAGGCGCGGGTGTGAGAACCGAGGCGCCGGTCCGAGAGGTGGGGGCGTCCGTTAGGAGCCTGAGGTGTTGCAGACTTAGAGGCTCCGCATCTTGGGGCTCGTCGCTCCGAGTCAGGGAGGGGACACCCAGGAAGCCGACGTGAGGAGCTGGAGTAGCGGGGGCGGATGGGGAGGGGGCGCAGCTTTTAAAGAAGGAGGTGGAGAACAGGTATTTGTGGTTAAGGCGACGAGAGTGGTGTCAGGCTGCCCAAGAGAGCGGGGGTCCCGGGCACTGGGGTCATCTGGGATTCTACCGGAGCCCCGCGAGACCGGCGACATCCTTAAAAAAATAAGGGAGACTTTGGAGGGGGGAGGGGAGTCCTGAAGAATACTGAGCAGAGTACTAGAGCCCCAAGGAGGGGCAAAGACTCGGGGAACCTTGGATAAGGAGGTGGAGGGAAGGTAGGTGGAATGCTAAGGTAGTGGGTTGACTGCAGTAAGGGATCTGGAAAGAGAAGCAGCTGGGGCTCTCAACGAGATGGGGGAAGAGGGTTGGGTTTGCTAAGGAGGGTGGAGTGTTGGGCATTCTGGGGTAGTGGTTGGGAGAGCAAAAAGGAGTGTCTAAATAAGGAGAGGAAAAATGAGCAGAGGATGGGGAGAAAGGGTTGAAACTGAGGCAGGGGGAATATTTATTAGGGCAGTAAAGGTGCCTGGGTAGAGAGATGGGGGTGAGGCGAAGGCAGAAAATAAGGGAAGGGAGTAAAATACAGGAAGCCGGGGGTGTAATGTTGGTGTGCAGTGTGGAGGATATATTAGGGATGGGAGGAGCGGAGTTGTGGCGAGTGCTGGAGGATACTGGTTAGGCCTTTGGGAAGGCAGGGACACGTAACTGGAACTGCCCTGGTGGGACTGAATCCGCCTGAAGACCAGGCGATGGAGGAAGTGGGTTTTTAAGATCTAAAAGTTTCGAGGAAGAGCAGACATTATTTCTGAGGAACATACAAGTAGTTCCTGAGATGCGTGCAGGGGATGGTGGAAACAGAATTCGGTTTTAAGCTGAAGCTCTTCAGAGAAGATGGAGAGAAATCGTGAGGAATCCCCGTGATGGGGGATCTGGACAGAGAATTCTGACTGGTGAGGACATGTGTTGCATTTCAGCTGCTGAATTGATCTTTCACCGGTGAAAAGTACTGTGAACTAGTTTCTGCTCTTGTGGAAACAGCCTTTAAAGTATTTTTATAGGGAAGAATTTATGAGAAGTCAGTACTAGAGAGTGAACTATAAATTACTTTTGCTAATTCCTCAGTGTCTTCATTATGCTAGAACAATTTAAAATTACTCTTGTTAGAATAGTTGAGATGTAATGGTTTTCAATTTTTTTAAATGAAAATGAAAAAAAAATTGGCTCATTAAAAAAAAAAAAGAGCCAGCGGAGTTAAGCATTCTAAGGAGAGTCTGGGCTTAAATGCTGAAGATTACAGTGAAAATGCATCAATAAAGGATTGAAAACCCATTATCCGTTAAATGTAAGTGTTGTAACAGATTGCACTAATCAAATCTTATGTATGCTTCACTGCCTTGAATTATCACTGCAGGGGTCAGCGAGGAAATATTCTTCTGTCTCTAGCATTGAACATGTGAAGTCTGTTGGGTAGTTTTCGATTTCCTCCAAAGCATGAGGCCGCTATGGAAGTCTGATTTGTGTCATCAGTTTTTAGTCTGTGTTAACAATGTGCCTTAAAGGAGCCTAATACTAGTTTCACCTTACCTATTTGATGTGTGGAAACAGCATGGTTTCATTTGGCACAATAGGTGACAGATTGTTGATCTTAACGTGTTTAATCTCTGTGCTGTGGCTTGGCTTCTTTCAATGATTTATAATACGGTGAAATTGTAGTTTCTTAGCAACTAAAGCAAGGTTTTTGGATAGGCCTACCAAAGACTCAACTGGCTATTCTCAGCAATGTGTTCTAAATACAGCATAGTGCAGCTTTTCCTTGAAATGAGCTTGAATTCAGTCATATGACATGACTGGTGAAGTGGAGCTGAGCTTGTTCCTGACCCAAATGAATGTAAATTTAAAAGAAAAAAATGGCTGTTTTTTTGAGTTTGAGTCCATATAGGTAAGGATGCCCTTTTATAGTTTTCTATAACATGTCTATAGCATGTCTATAGCATGAATAAGATTCATGCTTTCAACTGGTAATAGCCCTACAATAGTCTGACCTCTTGTTATGGAGTTTATGTTTTCTAACATAGTGCATCAGAAATGGATACCATGCTCTGTATGATATCAAAATGTTAGATTATTTATTTAAAATGATGACTTAGGGAAAAAAACACCTAAGTGTTTCTGGATTAAGTATGTGGTAGTTTAGACTGAGTATAAATGTTTTTCAAAAAGTCTCTTTCATTATCCCGAAAATGAAAAATTTGGACCCTCAAGGTCTCTTACTTCTCACCTCTGTGACCCATTACCATAGAGACTCAAGGCTTTCATTCAGGTAGACTTTGTTTCTCATCCAAATATTTAGACTTGGTAGGACCACAGTTTAAATTAAAATCCTTAGTTATGGTGTTGGTTTTTTTGTATGTATCAAGAAAGTTGTAATTCATTTTAAAGGAAGAAACTTGTTTTAAAGGTGGGGAATGGGCTAAATGGGTGATGGGTATTAAGGAGGGCGCTTGTAATGAGCACTGGTTGTTTTAAGTAAGTGAGGAATCATATATGTTAGCTAACTAGAATTTAAATAAAAACGTGAAAAAAAATTAAATTCCTCAAAAAAAGTAACCTTTTTGATAAGACATTCAAGAACTTTAGACTTTAAAATTAAAATTGAATGAGCGTAAGCCAAGCGTTATTATATGGTGATCAAGAACACAGACTTTGGATCCTGATAGACTTGTGTTTGAGTCCAGCCCTTTTAGCTAAGTGATTTTGAATAAAGTGCTTAATACTTCCAAATATCAGTTTTATCATCTGTAATTTGGAATTTATAATAATGCCAGTCTCCTAGGGAATGATGCAAAGATTAAATGAGGTAATGGCCATAAAGTACTTAGATTTCTACCTGGCATATAGATAGTGAGTTTTAATAGAGTGAATTTTTACTATATGTAATATATGTTACTATATGTGCCATATGCTATATTATGTAGTATAACAGTACTATATGTACTAAGTGCTCACTATAGTGTTAGCTGTTACTGTTATCCTTTAAAAAGTAGCATTATTATTTTTCTTCATGTATATGTTGAACCACTTGTTAGTTAATACTGTTCACTATCGGGGCGCCTGGGTGGCGCAGTCGGTTAAGCGTCCGACTTCAGCCAGGTCACAATCTCGCGGTCCAGGAGTTCGAGCCCCGCGTCAGGCTCTGGGCTGATGGCTCAGAGCCTGGAGCCTGTTTCCGATTCTGTGTCTCCCTCTCTCTCTGCCCCTCCCCCGTTCATGCTCTGTCTCTCTCTGTCCCAAAAATAAATAAAAATGTGGAAAAAAAAATATTTAAAAAAAATACTGTTCACTATCTTGAATAAAGTAAAGTAGGCCATTTTGAAGGCCCTCAACGGAGAGATTTGCGCTTGAGCTTATATAACTTAAAGTGACCAGCTGCGCTGCCTCTGCAGTTGCAAATTCTGGTGAGGAAGTTTGTATTTCCATTTCATTGTCAGGGAGATTTCATGGCTTTTTCTTTCAGTGAACGAAATATCTTTTCATATGGGCTGGATAGAATCTAGAAGTTTTTCATAGAATCCCATTGTGAAAAAGAAGTTGAATGTAGTGCCTGGCACACAGTAGGAGTGTTGGAGATGTTAACTGATGAAAGAATGTGGAATGGAGTGTAACAATGTAATATACTCATACTGAAAATATAAAATTGGATAATTAACACTGCTCAGTGGGAGAAAATAAGGAGCCTAATGAATTTTATTGTTATTTTTTTTTAAACTTTTTAAATGTTTATTTACTTTTGAGAGAGAGAGAGAGAGACAGAGCATGAATGGGGGAGGGGAAGAGAGACAGGGAGACACAGAATCTGAAGCAGGCTCCAGCCTCTGTGCTGTCAGCACAGAGCCCGATGCGGGGCTCAAACTCGCAGACCATGAGATCATGACCTGAGCCGAAGTCAGATGCTCAACTGACTGAGCCACCCAGGCGCCCCATGAATTTTATTATTAATGAGCTCAACTTTTTTTTTTTTTTAAATTTTTTTTTTCAACGTTTATTTATTTTTGGGACAGAGAGAGACAGAGCATGAACGGGGGAGGGGAAGAGAGACAGGGAGACACAGAATCTGAAGCAGGCTCCAGCCTCTGTGCTGTCAGCACAGAGCCCGATGCGGGGCTCAAACTCGCAGACCATGAGATCATGACCTGAGCCGAAGTCAGATGCTCAACTGACTGAGCCACCCAGGCGCCCCATGAATTTTATTATTAATGAGCTCAACTTTTTTTTTTTTTTAAATTTTTTTTTTCAACGTTTATTTATTTTTGGGACAGAGAGAGACAGAGCATGAACGGGGGAGGGGCAGAGAGAGAGGGAGACACAGAATCGGAAACAGGCTCCAGGCTCTGAGCCATCAGCCCAGAGCCTGACGCGGGGCTCGAACTCACGGACCGCGAGATCATGACCTGGCTGAAGTCGGACGCTTAACCGACTGCGCCACCCAGGCGCCCCTAATGAGCTCAACTTTAAGAAACTATTTTGCTTGGGTGATACTGGGTAGTTGTGAACATTGTGATTTGTAGCAATGCCAGTATTTGAAATAGATGATTCACAAATCTTTTTGTTTTCTGTCAAGTGCTGTTTGCTTCAATGGTTTGGCAGTTTTCTCTCCAAGTACATTTTTAGACATATATTC